ACACACACACAAACAGAACACACACACACACACACAAACACACACACACACACACACACACACTCACACACGCGCGCGCGCGCGCTCAGATACACAAACACAAACATACACACATCCAAACTCACATCATGTTCTCCGACTCCTCGGCACACTCTCCAACCGCCCTAGTCACGTTGACCAGCAGCGCCTGGTTTGTGCCGGTGAGCAAGTTGACCAGAGGGGCTATACCTCCAGCCTTGCGGATAGCCATACGGTTGGGAGGGTCCTTGGCTAGTTCTCCGAGGGCTCCCACCACGTTCACCAGTACCTGCGAAAATATGAAGTAAAGATGAGATAGATAAGGTAAGGTAAGGTAAGGTAAGGTAAGGTAAGGTAAGGTAAGGTAAGGTAAGGTAAGGTAAGGTAAGGTAAGGTAAGATACGGTAAGGTAAGGTAAGGTAAGGTTAGGTAAGGTAAGGTAAGGTAAGGTAAGGTAAGGTAAGGTAAGGTAAGGTAAGGTAAGATACGGTAAGGTAAGGTATGGTAAGGTATGGTAAGGTAAGGTAAGGTAAGGTAAGGTAAGGTAAGGTAAGGTAAGGTAAGGTAAGGTAAGGTAACGTAAGGTAATGTAAGGTAAGGTACGGTAAGATTAGATAAATTAAGATAAAAATCAGATCAGATAAGAGAAGAGATGAGAATTTTCTTTTAGACAAGATTTTTTTACGGCACTTGCAACACTATTAGGTCAAATATGTACCGAAGATTAAATTATGTGTCATAAGAGGATTACAAACACAAAAAGAACGACTTTCTTCTAGAATAGAGAGGAGCATCTCGACGCAATTGTGGCCATTGAATTATTAACGCGACCTAAAAAAAATCTAGTTTCTATAGATTACCCGATAGGCCACTAAGCAAATTACTCTCTCTCTCTCTCTCTCTCTCTCTCTCTCTCTCTCTCTCTCTCTCTTTGTATATATATATATATATTTTCCTTCATTTTTATCTGTCCATAGCCTGCTATCAGAAAGGGCGCACGCCGTAGACCAGTAAGTAGTGGGTATCATTTTCTTTCTCGCAGACAGCGAAGGCACCACCGGACCCCCCTCACCCCAACCTTCATTCAACTATTGTTGTTGTGTAGTCTGCTACCTGACCGGGTCAGGGTCAATGCTAAAAAACACAACGACGTATGATAAATGACGCTCCGAAGGCTAGGCAATATACAGGAAGGTTAGAAGAAGTTCTTCTTACCTCACTAATAATGGCGCATACCCCCC